TAGCACTGATAAGTATACTAATTATACAATTGTATACTAATCACTACTCAAAAGTCCATTTAGCCTAAAGTACTGTACATCTACGTTTGCTAAAAAATTATCCTAGCTCCCTTATTAAATAGATTTGGGTCCCCCCTGCAGATTGCCTTGTCTGATGATTGTGATCCCCTGCACTGTCTGCAGCTCAGCCAGTAAAAGTCTAGTGCAGGGTTGCCTGCACTTGCACATTAACATCCCATAGACTTGAATGGAATGCTAGTCCTGATATGTGTGGGATGTTGGTGCAAAAGCACAGGCAACCCAACACTAGATTTTTAGTGCTTGGGCTATAGACAGCAAGGGAGCCAACAGTTGTTGGACAAGGTAGGTACGGACATGCTGGAGAGAGAGCCTAGAATGGATATATCTATTGAGGAGGCTAGGCAGAGGGTTGGGAAAAGTTTAGCAAACATATATAAGTACCATAAAGAAGAACGCTATCTATACTGTATGTTTTCATTAGTGAATGATGAACCTACTTGTTTTATTAATATAATATTTGTCATCCCTAATTCAAGTAGTTTTAAAGTTTTCGCTAGAAATCTCCTTGCAAATGTTTGTGTAAACAGGATAAGCATCTATTATCAATTGTTGGGTATCATCATTTCCCACAAATTAGCTAATAGGACCCCTGAAAGAGAACTAGTTAAGACAGAAAAATGACAGCTTGTCTGTTGTCTGGTTTTATCAATTCTCAGCTCTTGATTTTCACTCTCTGACCACGGAAGGAAATACAGCCAGTGAAGTGACATCTCCAAACTGTATACTTGTTCCATTCACTGACTCAGCCTGAACCGAGAGGATCAGCATGACAGCCAGGGAATTTGCAGTATGTAAAAGAAAGTCACCAGTGGCATTTCTTATAGTTGCATTTCTTATAGTTCTGTCATGACAAGCTCCCTTGAAATATAAGAGACCATACAGAAATATGACTTGTATAAATATGTCTTATAAGGAGTCAGTATAGGCAATGACATAAACATCACTGTGTGTTACTTTGGAATGTACAGCAAGAAAATCTCAGCTTATAAAAAGCACCCTATATATGATGAAACGCATAAGAAGCGTGACTTGTGCTAGGGTAACACCATCATTACCACTACTACAATAGGAAAACATATAACACGACAATGAAACATAAACACGTATAACAGAACAGCACATACACATACTTGCACTTGGTAGGTCACATGTAAGGCCTCAATCACTGTGCAAAGCAGCACGGGTTCTTAGTGTCACAGCAACAGGAGCTGCCACATATACTCTACGCTGTTAATGTGCTCAGGCTGATATGTGTCACATGTACATCAATTAAAGCCAGGGTTTTTTAAGCCTGTTGTATGGCTTGTGTAGAAAGAGAAGAACAAAGTGGCTTTATAATACTTTACCAAAACATGCACAATAAACATACAGGACAGTGATACTAAGTGCCTGGAGTTGGTTTTCAGTCACATTTTTGGTCCTGCATGAGTCAAGGTTCATAAAGATGGATATGGCAGACCAATAACCATATGGGTACAATCATCCACTGCAGAGGCAAATTTATAACATACTTGCTCCATCCCTGCTATTACAGACTTTTTATAGCCTTTTTAAATTAAAATGTACTACAGGTCTACATTAAGTTATAAAGTGATACTGTAAGGGTAGAATGGCAGCCGCACATGCACACAAACCAAATCTTCGTGTGGCCTGAAAACATGCCAAAGAGCGCATGCAAACTGGAAGTGCGCGAAAACACGTGCAACGGCCTTCGCACCGAAAATGATGCTGCTACCCTAATAGTTCAGCATATAGAAACGAACCTGCCAGGGGCGTAACTAGAAATCACAGGGCCCCATAGCAAAATTTTGTATGGGGCCCCGTGATTGCTAGTTATACCACTTGCAGAGCCCACCTGAGAGTGACCCTGCAGAGCCCACCATAGATTCTCTATGGTGGGCTCTGTAGGGTCCCAGATGGGCTGCACAGATGGGCTTACCTGTCAGTAGCTGTTCTCCATCTCCGTGGTCGCTGGGGCCCCGCCTCCTCTTCCGTCCCCGGGCCCCGCCTCCTCTTACATCACTAGCCCCACCTGCTCTTAGGTCGCTGGCCAGTGATGTAAGATGAGGTGGGGTTGCTCTAAGGCGGGCCCCGCCTCCTCCTTAACTGCGAACGCCGGCCTCTTTTGCCTTAGCTGCTGGCTGTCCCTGACACAGCTCCGCAGCGGCAAAGAGGGGAAACGCTGCTGCTGAACTGTGTCAGTGACAGCCAGCACCCTTACATGCCATAGCGACCCAGGGCCCCCTGTGCCCGGGCCCCATTGCGGCCGCCTGGGTCGCTATGGCGATTGTTACGCCACTGGAACCTGCCATTGCCCCATTGCTGATTGTCTTTCAGTCAGTGTTCCTGTGTGCCTGTATTCTGTTGGATTCCTGTTACCTGCTTGACACGGTTTCGTTTGGACTTCTCTATCGATTGCTGCCTGCCCCTGACCTCGGCCTGTTTCCTGCACTTTGCCTTCTGCCTCCTGATTTTGTACCCTGCTGGCCGGCTGGCTCCAACCTTTGGCTTTCCTGACCACGCTTCAGTTTCTCGATTCTGTTCCCATGATGCCTGCTCGGTTGGACCTCTGGCTTGCTGACTACACACTACCAGGACATCTCCTGTACAGTGTTGGTTCCGATCAGTGGCACTCATTTTTCTCGCTGTCCGCCTGCTCTCTGTTCCCCTCTCCAGGGGCGGAAGGACAGGAGACGCAAGAGAAGCCTCCTCACCTTCCGGTCTCTCACCAGGTACGTGACAGATAGTGGTCTGTTAGACGCTCTTAAACATATGAGATTTTATAGAATATTGTTGTGCGTTTTTATGCCAGGGATGCCAGAACAGCTGAAAACAATGTGGCATTTTTGGAGCAAGGGGTTGCAGAATAAACTCGGTGTTACCTTGTAGCTTACTTGCAGTTGCAACTGATTTGTGTACCTCAGCACCACACAGATAGCCTAATTCAAATGATTTCTATGCTTTCCCCAAAAACAGCGGTCACAGATGTAGAAACCTTGACCCAAATCATGTCACTAGGTGGGCTCATTAAATATGCTACTAATCAGACTTCCAGTTCACAGATTCAATAGGATGCCGTGCCACCGGTAAGCTTTTACATCAAATTTCTATGTTTCTGTATAGCTGTTTTATATATGTTTACATTTAGCTATATGTTTTATTATACATTTCATAAAAAGTAGTGCAAGCCACATTCTCTGTGTCATCAAGCAATTATGTATACTGAAACATGTAATCAAGTGTAGATCAAAGTGCGGTCACTGTGTGGCAAATGGATAAGTACTGTAACCACACTGCCACATCCATCTATGAACCTTAATTAATATCAAACTATTTTCTCCTAAAGCAAAGCAGCAAGGTCAAATGAGCAGCATATGTTTGCACACCCTCCGGAGCAAACATGACAGAATAACAAAGGAGGGAGTACTGTACACAGTTTCTACAGGCATGGGTGAGAACAACATCTCAAGACTAAACATGAGATTCATCCAAGTCAATGTCTGTCTCCCCCAGCTCAATCTGTGTAAAATGAAAGTGTCCTGACACCAGCGGGTTCTCCATTCCATTGTCCTCACTGATATGAAGGACAGTATCTGAGTACTGAAGAAGGCTGCTGGTTTCTAGTCCAGCAAAGTCTTCAGGATCCGAAAGATGGGAGGTTGGTGAGCTGTGGAGAAGTGGGGCTGCTGCTCCCCGACTGGATTCTGAGTCCTCCTTCCCCAGGAAGTGGCCCCTTCTCTGGAATATAGAGTTAGAAAACAGATATTTAGTACAAATAGGTCACAGAAAGGTATATTTTATCAGCAACATGTGATGTGGTGAACTGGACAATGGGCAACTGGCATAGAGAATTATAAGCAACTTTTACTATTCTGCAGTTTTTAATTTTATGAACACATAAAAACCAATATTTTAAAGAAAAACTCCGGGTTGTAGAAAAATTAACCCTTGCAGTGGGGCTACCCAGTGGCGTCACGCGGGTGGTGCGGCCCGCACCTGGGTGACACCGTTGGAGGGACAAGGACTACACAGGCCAGACTTCACTCCCAACATGCATCAATGAGCCTTGGCCACCTATGACCATGTTGCTGGTTTACGAGTATTCTTTCCTTGGATCACTTTTGGTAGGTCCTGGCAGTGGTGTCACAAGGTGGGTGTGCGGGGGGTGCGGCCCGCACCCGGGTGACACCATTGGAGGGGTGACACCAAAATGACTGACAGTCATTTTGGTGTTACCCCCTTTAAAAAGTCAGGCACTCGGTCATGGACCGAGAGCCTGAGAGTGTCTGGAGAGAGGAGGGGACCCGGCGGCATACCTCATCCCGCCGGGTGAACGTCCCCTCCTCTGTCTGCTGGCGTCCATCAATTAGATGACCGCGCATGCGCGATGATGTCAGCGCACGCACGTGGTGACGTCACGCGCATGTGCGATGACGTCACTGTGGGGTGTCACCAGGCCTTCGCTCCCTGGGGCTACACACTGCAAAGGTTAACTGCTCAAGGGGCTCAAATAAAGAAATATTTACCCAATCCTCAGTGCTGCAGCAATGACCGTTCTCCCTCCCGTCCAGCAGTGGTATGTCCCTCAGAGTTCTTGCGTCTAATACAAGTGAATGGAGTTTAATAGACGTAATGACGTCAGCATGGCTTAGACCCCTGGACTCTGGGGGAGAAGAGGCTGTGGGGACTGGTCTAGCAGCAAGGCAGGACCAATGATCAGGTGAGTATTTCTTCTTTATTTGAGTCCCTAGAGAAAAACAAACAGTTAACCCTTGCAATGCAGGGGTAATTTTTCTGCAAGATGGAGTTCTTCTTTAAAGGCGATGTTGCAATTGCTAATGCTATAAAGTGTAAATGTATGTGATTTGAGTTAAAAAGGCTGATGTCTGGAATACTTTGTTCTGTCCAAAGACAATAGTAATAATTAAGAAAATAGAAACACCACATAACCTACAGCAGGCTTATTTAAGAAGCCAGTGCCATGCTATGGATTACTGCAGTCAGGAAATATAACACATTCAGTGATTACACATTTTGAGTTGATGTAAAGCTTGCCTTATCCCTTCTTGCCCCCAATCTGTAGAATAAAGTTCTTCAACAGAATTCACGTGCCGATGGCGCAATAATCTACATTCTTTTTTCAAACTGGCAGCCTGCTACAGTTACTATGAACATTGGTCACACACTACTATCATAAACCACTCTGATTGATTCCTGATCTGGTGATCACATGGGTTTCTGTATGAAAAGATGTACTGATTCCGCTATCATTGTGCCTTCCAATGAAGGAGGCAATTTAACAACAGCGGTCCCTAGGCTAAAATGCAAAACAGACTGTGAAAAAAAACATATTAAAAAATATAAGTTGTTAATCTTATTCAGCTTCCCAAAACCCCTAATTCTCTATTAATTGAAGGGAATGTACAAACATTTTTTTGATATAATTTAAACAAATTACTTTGATGCTAAAAACCTTATCGGTCTATGTAAATGATTAAATAACCACGTTTCTGTGTATAGTTTTTAACCAGTAGTGGACTTTGTAGGCTGTACTACGCAAACCCTAAAAAACCTCATCTACATAAAAGGGCAAATGTGGCATGCCCTGCTCCTTTTTCTTCCCCCACAGTTCCCTGGCTGCAAGTCCCAGCTGTCAAAATGTATGGCACGCTACAGCTGCTCCTGGGTCATTTGACACTTGCAGAACAGTGTCTACAATGTCAAAGTTGTTGTTGCTGCATGGTACTTACTTTGGCTCATTTATAACGGTTTAAAGGAGTGACATTTGATCTGCATATGATATTTGTTAAATCAACCTTGCAAATAAAAAAAAAGTTTAAATAATCTGGGCTCCTAAATATTAATCCTTAGTTAACTCTAATATCGCCAATTACATTCTTTTCACCATCTGCCCTTAGTTATAATTTTTGTGGCACTGATTTTGTTTGTTTGTTTGAAATTTAATTTAATTTTCATTTTTGTTCCTTAATTTGCGGTTGTTCTTTAATTTGTTGATTGCACAGATTGCATTTTAAGTAAAAACAAATTTATCACCAAATCAATAGGCCTTTAGCTGAAATGTACAAATTGCCCTTGTGCATAAGAGATATACAGGAGCAAGAGCTGCAGAGGTTAATTTTATATTTTATATATATATATATATATATACATATATATATATATATGTATATACACAGTATTTATATACAGCCATATTTGCTTATTACATGTTCCAATTCCACTTCCTGCTACACAATGGTTGGGCTGTAGTGGTCCTTCTCACAATAAAATTCTATGAACTGGACAAATCATTGAAAAACACTCACTCCCTGGGTAACCGATCCTAACAATAGTTAAGTAGATGTGGCATATCTACAAATGTTTACATTAAATAGAACAAAATTATGGAAGATAACCTAATTGTTCTATGCTCATAATTGTTTCCATAATAAACAATAAAGCAATATTGCTGTTTTCTTTTGCTTTGGTAGACTTAAAAATGTAATCTGATATTTCCCTGACATAAAGGTAAATCATTCTTGCATACTGTCAAACTGTCCTATCACAGAAAATGCATCCTAAAGTCTGTAGAGATTTTATTTGCTTACATTCAAGATGAGTTTAATTTTGTAACAAAATCCTAAAAATGAATACTGTGAACTTTAAAAAAAAAAAAGCACCCAGCAGTTTCTGGCACCATATCAGACAAACAAGCCTAGAGTCTTAAAATATGCTTTTATCTTATCTTTGATCCAGGGTTTGTGTGTGTGGGAAGCTAAAGACCCTGTCTTCAAAGAAACTGGAATGGACTTGAGACTTTGTGCTTTCTTTGTATTACATTTTTTTTTATTCATCTGAGGTTTATTTGTGTGCAAGTATGTGCTAAAAAGGCTTACAAATGTCTTCAATGCATTGTGAATTATTGGTCATTGTTCAGCAATTTTACTTCAATAAACTCTATAATGTGTTTAATTTGTCTGCTGATAATTCTGATAACACAGATGCCAGCTTCAAGGGATACATCTTTCCCACTCGTCCTGTGGAAGACTCTTATACAGTGCCAGACTGAATGTGCCCATAGCCAGTCCCCTGATCTAGCTTCTTTTTTTTTACAAGGTTGGTGATGATCCAATATTTATGGGGCAGCACACGACAGGAATTGCAACTACAGCATTTCCATTTAGTGGAGAAACTGGACCTGTCTGAACATTTGGCTATATTATTTATGCTACAATTTAAAATGCCCTAATAGACATGGATTCCACTTCTCTTTAGATGCCGTCATCACCTGATAAGTTCACAAACATGACAGCCTGACTCAGTTGAATTCCATAGTTGTTGCCATTGAGAGGGGAGAAGAGCAAAACTGACAAATGTCACTATTTATCATAACGTAGAACAGTAGCCATTGGAAAATATTTTTTAACTTGCCCAATTGAAAGTTTACCTCCATGAATGGTCACATAGCAGTTAGGCTTGAGAGCCATACATATGACAACATCAGGCAATCCAGCTAAAAGTGGGATGAGCGACTTTGCTCGGGTTCAATTCATAGCCCATTTTGCTAAATGTTCTCAAAAATGTTAAAAATCCCAATTTTTCTCTTAACCCAATTAAAAGGTACAAAGGAGTAAATCTTGATATTCAATATGTTCCTTTTGTGGGGCTAATAAACAAATTGTCAGAAAAGAGGCATAGAAAACGGGACACTGCCATCTGTACTGATGACAAAATTGAAAAAAAAATTGAATGTATAGCAAGATGTATAAATTGAATGTATAGCCTTTTCATGTGACTTCGAGGGTCATATTAAAGATACACCTCTCATTGTAACATTTTTTGAAAGGGGAATGAAAGGCTTTGCTTTTACTGAAACTATGGTGATGTGGGGTGAATGTGTGGTGCTGTTGATGCACGCTCGTTACCGCACAGCAATATGGCTTGCTGCATGCAAAGGGTAGTTCCGTCAATTATTTGGCAACAATAAAAAGCACGGGGAAAAATCAAATAGAATATTCTCCACCAAAAACACACACACATATACTGTATATACTGTATATACACATAAAACTAGCCAAAACATAAGCCTGTTATGTTTTCTTTAACTCTAGCAGAAAACAAAATAGAAAAATTTTGAATAAAAGAAAAAAAAGACCCCAATAACAAAAGAAGAAAAAGCTGCACTTGTTGCTGATTCAGAAAAAATAGTCCTAAGAAGGACAGTTAGGTCTATGGAACTCTGAATACAGGGGGGTATACAAGGGTATGTAGCTCACCACTCTGCAATCTACAAAGTAGCACAGTATAGCATAGTATAGCACAGTATAGCACAGCATAGCACTGTACAGGGCCGTAGATAATTTTTTTTCCTGGGGGGGGGTTCAGAACAAAATTTTGTGCCCCCCTCCACCCCAATCGACCTCCAACGAGCAGATGCATAATTTGACCGGTTAATTGTGTTTGGCCACTATTTGCAGGCCGTCTTTAACCCCTTCGTGACGGGAGACGTACAGTGTACGTCTTGTCACTGTACGTGACGAATTATATCAGGCTTTGTAATGCCGGTATTTGCTGATTCTCAGCATTTAACAGTCATTCATGAATGTCTCAGTATTGAGGCATTAATTAATGAAATAATTAAGCTTTTTGTAAAAGCTTCTTACTTTCATTAATAAAAGAATGAAGTCATTACATGCAAATAGAGGACCGCAAATTGCGATCCCGTATTTGACAGCTCA